CCAGAAAGGACAAAAAGTCAAGTGTTTTCTGTTTGAGGGTTGGCTATTCCTTCTAATACAGCAAAGAAGAGAAAAATACAGAAGTGTTTCCTTAAAAAATACTCTCATCTCTTCTCACTCCTAGAAGGGCCCTCTCCCCACTGTGAAGTTAGTTATGAATCCACCTGCACCTTCTTCTAGGAGCACATGAGATTTCTCTTGGCTTCTGTGTTGGGAATACAGAAAAACATGTGTTTGGTTTATGAAATTACGTAGTTATAGTAGGTCAATAACTGTATGTAAATATGCAGTAAAACCAGTTTCATTCTGTTTGGAGTGTCCTTGTAGCTTTGGTATAAATTCAAATCTATATAAATTTGTATAAATTCAAACGATTAACAAATTTGTTGTGTTAATCAGTGTTTGACCTGGCATGGTAGGAAAACCCACAACCGTGCTGCTTAGTTCTCCTGCCTCCTCCTTGGTTTTCATTTTAAAGAATGGTATAAACCACACTTGTTATTCCTTATTTCACCATTTGAAAATATATGTAATCCTCTCTCACTCCACTCAGAAATACAGTCCAGACTTCCTGTCAGAAGATTACTTGTCAGAGGAGAGACCACCCACAGGTGTAGGGACCAAGCTTAGCATTGCAAATGTGTTGTTCCTGTTGATGTCAGAAAGGGCTTTATTGAGGTATAGAACTGAAGGCACAGTACTTGCTTGCTCTGTGGCAGGGGTCTGCAAACTACTCCCACCAGTTTCTGTGGGTAAGGTTTTACTGGAACCCAGCCACATTCTCTCTGTAAGATATGGTCTGTGAGTGCTTTGTCACTACATGCTGCGGACTCGAGAAGTTGCTTCAGAGACCCTATGGTTCACAAAGTCACGTGTTTGCTCTCTGGCCCTTTACAGAAAGAGCCTACCGGCCCCTGCTCTAAAGAAGTTTATCTTTGTTTCACAGACATTTTTGCATTTTATAGGAGAAATATTCCAAGCAGAAAATGGAGGCGATTTTCTCTTGAAGTTGCTAATTTTGGCAACTCTGTGTATCATACTCTCAAGGCAGCGATAGTGTTGTGAAGAGACACTTTGAGTCTCCAGAACTGCCATGTTTCCCAGTAAGGGGACACCCCATATATCTGTCGTCTGTGCATATCCAATTCTAACGTAGCCAGAGGTTTGAGAAATCATGCCTGTTGTGTGATATGGTTGTGAGATTTAAAAATTCTTGCAACAAAGGTAAGAGGGAAGGAGAATGGGTGACCATCCAGGTGTGGTTGGTTCCTTAGTGGTGGTGGGGAGGTAAAATACTCTGGAGACAGCCTAGCTGATGTCACCTGGAGGCAGATATCCATACTTGTTAGCATAAAGATCGTTCAGAGAGGCAAGAATTCTTTATGTTCTTTATTATAACAGACACACAGGCTAGTCAGGGGAATTTGGAAATGTAAAGAAATCTAAAATTACAGCCCACCTAAAGGGCATATTTTTGTCGGGGGGGCAGTTTCTGATTGAGAGCTTTGGTTTGCTAAATTATAGACAATTGGCCTTGTATATCAGACCGTATTATTGTGCTATCATTTAATTTCCTTCTCCTTACCAGTAATTGCCATGGCAAGGTTTAGTACTAAATGACACTTTCTCTTGTGCTTTAATAAAGGTAGTTAGTGTCTCTTCATACATTTGAATCTGCTATTTCTTTTACATGAAATAAAAATCTTCCAGGGCTGGCCCGGTGGCGCACTGCTGTAGTGCGCCGCTTGGGAAGCGCGGTGGCGCTCCTGCCAAGGGTTCGGATCCCACATACAGACCGGTTCCCGCTCACTGGCTGAGCAAGGTGCGGGAGCAACACCGAGGGTTGCGATCCCGTTGCTGGTCCCGGTCCGGTACGGGGGCGACACTGAGGGTTGCGATCCGTTGCTGGACACGAAAAAAGACAAAAAGGAAAAAAAAAAAAAAAAAGAAATAAAAATCTTCCACAATTTATGTCAGAGTCACCATTTCTTCTGATAGCATTATGGTGTTAATTTATTTTAAATAATTATTACTTTAAAAACTCTAAAATTAATATATGTTAACTGGAAAAACTCAAACAGTATGGAAGAGAAGAGAGTTAAAAAATAGAAGTCGTCCCCCCCCCCCCCCCTTCCCACTATCCAGATTTAGAGTGTTAAAGGTTGACCATAGTGCTTCACTGTGATGTTTTGGAACTGGTTTAAACTTTTCATAGTTTCTTGCTTTCATAGTTTGACTTGACTTGGTCTGTAGCATCTCAAGGTGGCCAGTTATCAGTCCTCTATTAGAACTGCGGAATCCTTCTACATGGGCTCAGGCCCTCAGGGGAGAATTAAGACCCTCACGTTGAAGCATTTGTTCATATCACACAGTCACGAAGGCAGCCTCAGGCACTGGAAGGACTTGAGTTGGGAAGCAGACTGGCTTGAGTTGAAATTAGACTTGAGCTCTGTCATTCACCGCGTGACCTTGGGCAGCTTAATCCCTCCGACCTTCCCTTTTTCCTGTGAAGTGAGGATACTCAAATCTCCCTCCCATGATGGTTGTGAAATTTAATGACACAAGGAAATACAGATCTACTCTTTTGGAGAAATTCAGTCAAATGGGGGAGACAGGGAATATACAAGCGTGATGCGAGCCAAGTTAATGTTCTTGGGGACTGCACAACACATTGTGTGCAGTGGGGGCAGAGAGCAGTAGGGGAAGTGACTTCTGTGCAGAATCACAGAAGAGCAGTGGGACTTTGTGGGATGTCTGCAAAGGGTGACGGTACGAAGGCAGAGGGTCCCCCTGGGCAGAGGTTCGGCTGTGTGTAGCACGTGGTGTGTGAAGGGAACACAGTCGGATCCTGAGATGGTGGAACCCGCCATCTGACTTTGATCTGACGCAGGAATTGCTCGATAACCGTTACTCTTGAGCTGCTCCTCCTCCTTTGTGTGTGCCAGTCCCTTGGCTGAGAATATCTTCCTCTTTTGCTTTCCTGACTGAATCACACTATCCTCTAGGCCTCAGCTTAAGTGCTGCTTTCTCAGTAAAGCCCCCGCCCCCCCAATCCAGGATGATCTCATCTTCGGATCCTTAATTATGTCTCTGAATCTGACTACTGTAGGCGTTTCATGTAAGTGGAATCATACGGTATTTGTCCTTTTGTGCCTGTCTTATTTCACTTAGCGTAATGCCCTCCAGGTTTATCCACATTGTACGTCCTTCTATTCTTATAACAGGAGCTCTGTCCTTTCCTTTTCTGTCATTTCTACTTTATAATTATGAGGTCATCTCAAAAGCTGAGTCAGCACTGCATTCCACTGTGTATCCTACTTCTAGCTCAGCATGTGGCACATAGTAGGAGCTCTATAAATATTTATTGAATGAATGCATGAATCCCCCATCCCCAATTGGGACCGTAGCCTACCTTTCTAATCTGATCCCCGCAGATCCTTTCTGTATTAGTTTCCTGTGGCTGCTGCAACAAATTACCGCAAACTTGGTACTTAAAATGACAGAAATTTATTCTCTCACAATTCTGGAGGCTGGAAGTTCAAAATCAAGGCATTGGCAGGACCAAACTCCCTCTGGGGTTTGCCTCTTTCAGTTTCTGGTGGCTCCAGGTGTCCTTTGGCTGGTGGCTGCACTGTTCCTTCTCTGCTTCCATCTTCACATGGCCTTCTCCTCGTGCATCTTCTCTTCCTTTCCTCTGTAAGGACACTTGTTAATGGATTAGGGTCTGCCCTGGTAATCCAGGATGATCTCATCTTTGGATCCTTAATTATGTCTCCAAAGATCCTATTTTCCAAATAAGGTCACATGCACAGGTTCTGGGGCTTGGGAGACAGACATATCTTTTTGGCAGCCACAGTTCAACCACCTGCACCCTCTGAGAACCCTATTCCTCAGCGGATCTGGCCTGGTCACTGTATCTTGACTGTACGACACGCTTTTCATCATTCCCTGTGCATGTCATTCGCACACCTCTGTTCCTCTGGAAGTCCCTCTTTTCTCTTGAATGTTGAGATTCCCTGTTCTCCCCTGCCTTCTCCATGGATCTTCGTGACCACTCCAGGTGAAAGGAACTTTCTTCTGCTTGGACACCCGCCTGCCTGCGCTCATGGTGCAGTTCACTCACCGCCCACGGAGTTCCTTTTCTCCACCTGCTGTGCGTTCTCATTAGTGACTCCGTGTGGGACTGGAGGCTGGAGCTGGGTTCCCTACAGTGCCAAGGACATTAGTAGGGACTCCGGAAGTATTTGTGGATGATATAAGTATCCAGATGATGGGTTCAGACTTACATATCTAAATAAAGTCAAACAGTGAACCTGCAGTCACAGCCAACTTTCAGTTATAGGAAAACATTTGTGTGGATATAGACAGGGAATTTTTTTTAGGGGGGGCAAGGAGCAGGTGTCAGCTCCAACAAACTTATGTAATAAATGGGTTTAAAGAACAACAGACAACCCCAGGGACATGCAGGGCCTAGAATCAAATGACAGGCTGGCTGCACTGACCAGAAGGTCAGAACCAAGGTCCTGACTTTCACCCTTCTGTGGGCTACACCATCTCATCTGACCTCTGGAGTAGATGTAATGTCACAGGGATGACCTGGTCCTTGAAGGTTTGACTTTGCAGTATAACCTCAGGGCTGCTCTCAGTGGCAGATCTTCCGGGCACCTTTTCCATTCCTCGGTGCCTCGCCGCTGCCTGCTAGCATCCCCGCCTCTCATGCCCTCTCTGCTCCCCCACGTCTCCAGCCTTCTCTGCTTCCTAAGGCTCCAATACCAGCCTGACCGCCTGGCTATGCAATTTGAAGGCCTGGCGTCATCCACCTACCTTGGACTTGCCACGGTCCAAACTCCCAGTCCCCAGCGTGGACTTATGTACACCTTGGTCCAGTCAGCGGTGGACAGGAGTGAGGGAGGGGCAGGGGTTCACCTGGCAGGGATGTGGGTGAGCAGGTCTCTTGGGAGATCCAAATCACCTAGTGTTAATATCTTATTTTTCAGATTGGTCGTGTCCTGTGCTAAGATGTTTCCAGAACAACAGAAAGAGGTATGTCATCATAAATCCAAAAATAAATAACCTGTGCATATTGACTCACTGCGGCTTAGTTCTCCATTCACTAACCTTAAATCCATGGCATCCCATAGGAGTGCTAATGAAAGAACTAAACGTCCACCCTCCTGCCCCCACTGCCCACTCCCCCCATTGGTGTTTCCTTGGCTTCAGTTTTTGGTTCTAGTGACAGAGCTGTGGAGCACTCTCCTACCCACTGCTTACAAACACGATCTTTTCCGGTGACTCAGTTCTCCCAGGCTCTGCCTCCCACCCTTTGTTTTGAGCAGCCTCCTTGTCTGCTCTCTTGGTTTCCTACTCCATTGACTCACCCCTGAACTCGCCCACCTTTGGGCAACAGCCCGGGGAAACTGTCGGCTATTAGTTTCAGTGTTGCCTGTTGCCTCTTGGACCTGTGGGCTTGGTTTCACACAATTCAGGCCAGGCCGTCTCTTCCTGCCCATAGCCTGGCTTCCCAGGCCTCCAGTCCCAGCTTCCTGAGCTTCCATCTGACTGGGAGGAGGGTGAGACAACCACTGCACCAGCCCTTTGAGTGTCCCTCCCTTGGAAGTACCCATCTTCCCTTCCCGGCTACTACAGGGCCACACACATTATCACTTGGCTTATTACAGGGAAAAAGTACAAAGTAGAACCAGCCAAAGCAAGAGACAGATGTGTAGGGCAAAGTCAGGGAGGGTCCACATGTGGAGCTTCTGTGGAGTCATGGATGGAGTGACTCTCCCGTATCAGTGTGTGACATTGGCACAGAGTATTGCCAACCAGGGAAGCTCACCTGAGTCTTTGATATCCAGAGTTTTTATTGGGGTTCAGTCACATACTGCCTGTGTGGCTGACCTTGTGTCTCCACCTTTCTTGGGGGTCTAGCTATACTTTTAGTCTCCATTTCCTCTGGAGTTTGGAATGGACGCGGAGTGGCCCAATGTCCCTATCATAATCACATTGTTTGACTATCTGGTGGCCAAAACCCCAGGCAAACAAAGATACTCTTATCAGACAAGACATTCCAGGGGCCTAGAGATCACCTCTCAGTGCTGAGGGCAAAAGCCAGACCTCTCTTTGAGTAGGGTGAATTCTTCTCTTCACCCCTGCACTGGCCTGACACCGCAGGGCAGGCTGTGCTAAGGGAATGGAATCGTGCCCGCCTACAGCACATTTTAAAGGTTTTTCTCCTGGGGCGGGGTGTGGGGGATACCTGCCAATGAAACCAACAAAGTCTTTTTTTCTAATTATAAGAAGCTTTCGTTTTTGTTATTGTTGGTTGGTTTAATCACTTGATTTTTATTATCAGCTCATTTCAATGAATAAAAACTAGACACAAATTTTAACCAACTACATAAAGCATGTCGTTGACCTTGAAAAGTCCTTACTTATAAATAATTATATAATAATATTATAACATTAAGGAATTTTAAAATGGAAAGGGAAGAAATCCTGCAAGTAGAAAGAGGTATAATGTTAAAAAATTTACTCTAGCCTCTATCAGCAAGAAATAAATATAGCAAGGGTAGATTCTGGATGTACTGTCATATATTACTGTTTATCACATATCAATCCATTTTCTACATGTAGCCAGAATGATCTCCTGGCTTCTAATCCATTGCTTTTAATTTTTTAATTTTTTTTTTTGGCAGCTGGCTGCTACAGGGATCCAAACCCTGGACCTTGGTGTTATCAGCACCATGCTCTAACCAACTGAGCTGTAATTCATTGCTCTTAGAGCAAAGTCAGAACACCTGAGGATGGTTTCCAGGGCCCTGCAGGATCCATATCTGTTTCTCCAGACTTGTTTCTGGCCTCCCACCTCCCACCCCAGTGCAGTTCTCACTCCTTCTTTCAGAGCTTGTTGTAGAGCCTTGACTGCTCTGTGCATGCTCATCCCCTGGACTCTCACAGATGTTTTTTCCGCTGCCCTTAATAATCTCTTCCCCACAGCCTTCACAGTGTGTGGACTGGCTAACTTCTTCTTATTCTTTGGGCCTCAGCTTAGAAGATAAGGAGAGGCTTTCTTTCTTTTTTTTTTTTTTTGTCTTTTTTCATGACCGGTAACGGGATCGCAACCCTCGGTGTCGCGCCCGTACTGCACCCGGCAACGGGATCGCAACCACCACGCTCAACCAGTGAGTGGACCGGTCTGTATATGGGATCCAAACCCTTGGTGGGAGCGCCGCCGGCTCCCAAGCGCCACACTCTACCGAGTGCGCCACCGGGCCGGCCCTCAAGGAGAGGCTTTCTAAAGCCTCAATTACAAAAGGTATTTTTATCTCATCACTTTCCCCAACAGCATCCTGTAGTCCTGTAGTGTAGGGAAAGTGAAGGAAAATGGTCAGGGCCCTTCAGATGTTCAGAATCTTGCCGAACATTTGATGTAAATACGCACGTGGGCCCAGGTGTTCCTTGGCTATTGACTAATGTAATTGCGCATGTGTGCCCAGGTGTCCTGGGTTAGGGACTTAAGTATAAAGGATGAGTGGTGCTGATCCACAGGGCTCTTCTGTCCCGGGGGGAGTCACGGGGAGGTCACTACTGCTGCTGGAGGCTGTTGCTGCCAGTGCCCCTGGGGTGTCCAGGGAGGCCACTACTGCTGCTGGAAGCTGTTGCTTCTAGGGCCCCTGGAACCCTCTGGGAGGCCACCGCCACCGCGGCTGGAGGCTCCTGCTACAATTCTGCTGCTGAGGACTGAGCTTGTGTCGTTTGCCAACAGCTCCGAGGGTCTTTCCCAATTACCTAGCGTCGACCTGCGTATGAGGGGTCTGGTGGCCCAGTCTGTACAATGGATTTGAAGGGTCTGTGAGCCCTGACAATCTTAGTATAGCTAAAATAATGAAACGTTTTGGCTTTAGCATAGCTATTGCTGTAACCCGACAATTGGCGTAGTTGTGTAGCTTTACACATAGTCAGTGCCAGTTAGAAGTAGAGGAGGTTTTGGTTGAACCTTTCAGTGTTCTGTATTGTAGTGGATGGTTAGTGTTCAGTGGAAAACAATTCAAGTCCCACCTAATTGAGTATGTAAGAGCCAAATGCAATATCGCTGATGGTACTAGAATCTAGACCAACGGTATGGTGTGCGTAAGCCCCCAGCAGACATTACTCATTAATCATGAGGCTGGCCTGTGAATTGAGACCTATTTACCATCCTTGTTCAAGATCCAAACAGCCCAGGAGTGACATCTTGGTTCAACCTAACTGGTACGGTAGGCTGGCCGATATTTGTAATGTTTTTTTGTTTTTTAAGTTTGGGGGCGGTATATGAGGAATCAAATGCAGTCTCTCTTGTTAAACAGCTTTATTACTATAATAAATCTAGAGAGAGGAGAAAAAGGAGTGAGAGTCTCCCTTGTTACTTAAACATGTTCCATTTGCACATTGGTTTGAATTCCCAGGAGAGCAGTATCCGAGCTGATGGATCTTCCCCATAAAAAGGCCTTGGCATTGGGCCATTGTAAAATTAAAATGAATTCATATTCATCCATGCATGCAACTTTAATTTACAATTAAAATATTATGGTTACATATTTTAATAAGAATAATTAGATGGGCCCAACTGAATCAACTCTTCTGTTTAATGAGACAGAACCCAGAATCCAAATGGAAAGGCAGGTGGCTGTGACAGGAAACACATTTCAGCATTTTTTTGTGGAGTCCGGCGTTTTTGTTCTTATATTGTAATGTCCAGAATGAGCAGTTTTATTTTTCTGCACTGCTAAGGACCTTGCCTCCAGCCTTGCTGATCTCCCTCGAGGTATGTGAATAAGCAGCTTCCTCCTGCTGGACACAAGCCTGTTTCATGGGGTATGACATTCTCACTCACATATCTGTTATGCTGCTGTTCCCTCCATGAAAACACAGGCCCAGGGCTCCCTGGGGTAACCAGAATGTTCCTGCCTATGTGATATGACCTGGAGGGTGGGCTGAAACCCCTTTTGTGTGTGTGTGTGTGTGTGGTGGAGGGTATGTCTCCCTTGCTCTCCTGGACAATGATGGCTAGGGGTTATACCTTTAGGACAAGGGGTTTTCCCCTTCAGAAATGTAGGTACCTCATACTGGGTGTAACAGCAACTCCCAGACAACTGCCTGTTATCGACACCATAGAGACAGTAAATCCATCAGTTCTTGGCAGGGAATACCCTGAATGGAGCAAGTGGTTCCACGTACCCTGGAGGTGCATGCCGGAGGAGACAGGGTGCTGCAGGGGGAGATGGGAGGAGGGGTGTGCTGCCATTGGGGAGGAGTGGTCTGTAGGGGTGTTGTTAATGTGTTCAGCGTATGTTTATGCTACACAGGGTAGCATTTTGAACTTGCTGTAGGAAAGCATGGTTTTGATATTGGGAAACTGATTGGAAACTGACTGGACTGGAACCAATGAATATCATTAAAGAATAAAGAACATCACCTAGTGTCTTGTGACACTGGACTTTGAAGGGCAGCAACAAAATAAGGCAAAACGCTCTCCCACTCTCCCAAACCTAAATTTCTTGTTTCCTTTTCTCCTCTTCCTTTCTTCTTCCCTCCCTCCCTTCCTCAGTCTCTGACTGTTACACCCAGTTATTAAGTTTTCCTAACTGAAGAAATATTTCAGTTCCCATAAGAGGCAACGTAACATTCTCTTGTAAGAAAAGTGGCTGGGAATGTTATCCTTCACAAACAAATTCCAGATTTCAGAGAATGCTGCTATCCCTCTGAGCCCTACATTTATGTTACCATTACTTTGAGGGCTCTGATTTTTTTTTTTTTTCTGAGCCAGTCCCAAAGAAAAATCTTCCTTCCTTTTTTTTTTTCCTTCCAGATTTTTACAAGAATTATTCACTGCAGAGCATTTTTGGAAAAACATAAAGGAAGAAATAAAATTTGGGCGTATTTCTTTCTGTTCTTTTCCTGTACATATTTACATATATATTTTTAGAAAATTGAGATACAGAATTTATAGTTTAATATCTCACTCTTCCAGCTTAGTGTTCTAACGCATTTCAAGGAATACT